TTTGTGGTAGAAAATACGGTGCCTGCTGAAACGGTGGCAGTGAAAGAGACAGGAAATTAAAAGAGAAGAATTATAAGACTTAATAAATGCTGACGCTCTGATCTCGTTGGTCTTATCACGTCTCCCTCAGCATTGATTTTCAGCTTTGTATTACTGAGTGTGTGTGTGTGTGTGTGTGTGTGTGTGGGTGTGTATTTTATTGTTTGTGAAGCTTCATTGTTTGTTCTGCGTCACAACAGCGAGGTCCTTGATCACAGTTAACTCTGTGGACGTGTGGACAGGACGGACAGACCCACATGATGAAAAACAAACCTCGACGTTCACGTCACACACACTGGGATGAATCTGCAGAGGAAACACACGTTGTAGCTTCTGTCTCCAGGTCCACACAGACAGACGCTATCGATTGTGGCCAACAGAGAATAGAAGAACTGGTTTTGGGTTGTTTTTTTTCTGGAAAAAGTTCGACAAACTTCTGCACCAGACACCAGTCGTTCCTGCTTCATCTGTGGCTCCTACTGAGTTCCTCACTGATGGACACTGTGTTTAATACATTTTTTTTTACAAACGCTGTTTTTTTCCCATCAGTCATTAGGACCACATTTTAGGTCAAAGTTGTTACAGTGCTTGATTATATCACTTTATTTCTATTCACAATTTGTTGTTGGATGAACAACTTATTTAATAACGTAATCTTTTATAGTCAAATCAGAGACTGGGATAAAAAAAAACCCTCTTTTCACTAAACTTGGCCTAAGAAAAAGAACTTAAGAAGAATTTAATTGCTTTTGACCTTTTTGAAGGGTCAAGACATTTGAGACACTGGTGGACACTGGGGGACACAGGAGACGTGGTTAGCATTGAATGAAGAAGAACAGCAGCTCCAGACAAACTGTTCAAAGTAGCGGTGCCTGTCGATCTGGACGGTCAGTCTCACATCTTCACACCAGCTCAGACAGGGAGACGGTCAGTTCTGTCAGTTCTGTCAGTTCTGTCAGTCACGGTGGTCAGGCCCAGCAGGGAGTCAGCTGATCATCTCCTCCATCAGAAAGTCCGTTGGCAGCAGACGGCAGCTTCATCATCTTGTTAAATAATGAAAATCATTAGAGTTCATTTTTCTTCCTGCACAGAAGAAAATAATTATAATGGCGAGGAGGA